TGATTCAAATTTTTTTAAAGGGACAGTGCAAAAAAAAAAAAAAAAAGTTTAACGTGCTCCCGTCCCCCCACTCGCACGTAGTGGTGAACGCATACATAGGCCAAGCCCACATATGTAAACAGTGTTCAAACTACAAATGTGAGGTATCACCACAAACATCAAAGCAAGAGCAATAATTCTCGCACTAGACCTCTGTAACTTTACACTACTAACCTGTAGAAATTTTTAAAGCATCACCCATGGAGATTTTAAGTACCACAGTTTCACGCCATTCCACAAGCGCGCACAATTTTAAAGCGTGACATGTTGGGTATCTATTGACAACATATTTTACAAACCAATTGGGGTATATATTGTGGGGTTTTTTTGGTTTTTTAAACAAAGTATATTTTTTTTTTTTTTCCAAAAAATATATATTCATTTTTAAAAACTGTGCATTTCGGTTTTCGGTCAAGTGCATTTTGAATTTTCATTTTCAGCACCAGAATTTTCATTTCGGTGCACCACCAATTGGTATCATAGCTTGTTGACTCTATAACTCTCACAAAGACCAAAAAATACAGACAGATTTAACTTATTTTTACCAAAGAAATGTAGCAGTGTAAATGTTGGACGAAATTTATGAACAAAAATTACTTATTTGCAAAATTTTACAACAGAAAACAAAGAAAAATTAGTTTTTTTAATTTTTGGTCTTTTTTTCATTTATAGAGCAAAAACTACAAAAATCCCAGTGCTGAATAAATACCACCAAAAGAAAAGCTCTATTTGTGTGAAAAAAGGACAAAAATTTAAAATGGGTACATTATTGCATGACTGATTAATTGTCAACGTATGACAGTGCTGAAAGCTGAAAATTGGTCTGGGCAGAAAGGGGGTATAAGTGCCCAGTAGGCAAATGGTTAAAGAAGTTCCTTCTTAAAAGAGAAGAGTGGTGTGATAAACGCTGATGTCAGACCCTTGTCCTTTTCACCAACTCCTGACAAAGGACTGGCCAATCTCACACCATGCTGTCACTTACGTAACAATGCCAATCTCAGCTGCACCCTGCACAAAGATTGTCCAGCTCCTGGGACCACAATCTAGGTGCCAGCAGCCTGAGAGCAATTCTCACTTTATTAAGTTAACTAAGCAATTAACTTTTTAAATTTCCACCACCACCTTTTAACTCAGAAGAAGGAAACAATCTTAGCAATAACAACTATGATTTTAGAATAAATGTCTGTAACACACACGGTCACCACAGACAGGTATATTCAAAGGATTATACTACAGTAGCACTCTTCAAAAGACAGGGATTCTTTTCGTTTGCAGTAGTGCATTTAGAGACAATTTCAACACCTTTCAAAATAGGGGTTAATAATAAAAAAATGGTGCAAATAAAATAATTACAAAAACAAAGATATCATAAAGTAACAAAAAGAACAAGCAACAGCAAGACAAAGAGGTGAAAAAAGGCAAATACTTGCAAAGTCCTTGGTTTTATCAAGGGTGAGCAAGGTGTTATCGACTCTCATAACTTGATAGATGTTCCTTGGTTGATGGTACATGACAGCTGTCAAGTTTTGAAGCACTCTCTTTTTCTCCCGGAAGGGGGTGTCAGAGACCACCTGACCAATTAAGTGGTTAAGAAGTGGTCATGGGGGTGTCACCGTGTTTATGACTGTATCATGGCCTTCCTTATACACAGTTTCATACTAATATTAATATTTTCGATGTACAGGTTACATTCTGGAAACTGGTAATTATTGTGCAGCATTATATTTTATGTCCAGCAATACCAAACACAAAGTATACTGGATAGGCCGATCACCCAGAAGGTAAGAGACTGCTGTCTCACCCTCCGTATGGACTAGCTTAGTCATGTATGACCTTGATTTGTACAGTAAGATATTCTTCATTCAAAAATACACTATATTTCCAAAAGTATTGGGACACCCTTCTCACTGGATTCAGGTGTTCCAAACACCTCCATGGCCACAGGTGTAGAAAATCAAGCACCAAGGCATGAAGACTGCTTCTACATACATATGTGAAAGAATAGGTCGCTCTCAGCAGCTCAGTGAATTCAAGCATGGTACCTTTATAGGTTGCCACCTGTGCAATAAGTCCATCCGTGAAACTTCCTTGCTGCTAAATATTCCACAGTCAACTGTTAGTGGCATTATAACAAGGTGGAAGCAGCTGGGAACAACAGCAACTTAGCTAAGAAGTGGTAGGTCACGTAAGCGGGGTAAGTGAATGCTGACTCTCACAGTGCGCAGAAGTCACCAACTGTCTGCAGAGTCAGTAGCTAAAGACCTTCAAACTTTGTGTAGATTTCAGATTAGCACAATAACAGTGACTGGAGATCTTCATGGAATGGGTTTCCATGGCCGAGCATCTGCATCCAAGCCTTACATCATCTAGTGCAAAGCAAAGCATTGGATGCAGTTGTGTAAACCATGCCGCCCCTGAACTCTAGAGCAGTGGAGACGTTCTCTGGAGTGACGAATCATGCTTCTCTGGCAATCCGATGGACGTGTCTGGCTTTGGTGGTTGCCAGGAGAATGGTACTTGCCTGACTGCATTCTGACAAGTGTAACGTTTGATAGAGGTGGCATTATGGTGTGGGGTTTTATTTCAGGGGTTGGGCTTGGCCCCTTAGTTCCAGTGAAGGGAAGTCTTAAAGTGTCACCATACCAAGACATTTTGGACAATTTCATGCTCCCAACTTTGTGGGAAGAGTTTGGGGATGGCCCCTCCCTGTTCCAACATGACTGTGCACCAGTGCACAAAGCAAGGTCCATAAAGACATGGATGAGCGAGTTTGGGGTGGAGGAACTTGACTGGCCTGCACAGAGTACTGACCTCAACCTGATAGAACACCTTTGGGATGATTTAGAGAGAAGACTATGAGCCAGGCCTTCTTGTCCGACATCAGTGCCTGACCTCACAAATGTGCTTCTGGAAGAATGGTCAAACATTCCTATAGACACACTCCTAAACCTTGTGGACAGCCTTTCCAGAAGAGTTGAAGCTATTATAGCTGCAAAGGGTGAGCCAACTCAATATTGAACCCTACGGACTAAGACTGGGATGCCATTAAAGTTCATGTGTGTGTAAAGGCAGGTGTCCTAATACTTTTGGCAGTACAGCATATACTTAATAGTAATGCGTCTTGGTCCTGTTTGATTTTATGAATTGTGTGTGGATTTTGTTGTCAATTAGGCAGAGGTCTCAGAGAGGTCGCCTGACTGCTTTCTGGGTAAACATTTTATGGCACGCTATGTGTTCCTAGTGCTTTGAGTGCCTTACAAACCATTGGTTACAGAACTGAAGGATTTTGTCATAGCTTTATGATAGTTCAGAGGGAAGTGTTAATCTGTGTTTTTTTATGGCAGAAACTAACAGACATCCTGCCAGAACACACTTGGCTGTTTACAACTCAGACAAAGGCCTGTGTTCTGGTGTTTGCTGTCCCTAAGTTGAGATAACAGGCTGTTTTGAAGTGTGTTAAAAGTTAAGGCTATGAATTGGAGAGGGAGGGGTTAAGATCCCTGGGCTCATGAAAAATATGGCTGAGGCCTGAACAAAATGGAGGTCGCCTAGAACTTTCATGTGCCTATTGTGCACAACCATTACATATGGGTTGGAAAAAAAAAAACTTATACTCACCTAGGTGGATGGAGCATCCATCTGACCCACACTGGCTCCAAGACTGAGATCAAAGACCACTGATCACTCAGTTCTCAGTGTTCATTGAACAGAGAGTGGTGACTGTCAGCCACCAGCTCTCTGTTCTGCCCCTCCAACGCTCACTGTAGCACTCGGCTGTGGAGGGGGCGAAAGCAGCTGGCTCAGGCTCTTGGCGGATCGCTGAGAGGCTGAGCCAGGTGCCGGTCCAGACATCTCCATCGACCATATGGTTAGGATCTTTGCAGAGCCTGGACCAGCTCTGTGATGTCACTTAACAGCAGACTTTAGCCTGTTTTCAGCTGAAAATGGGTCACAGGAGTGCAGGACAAACTGCACTCCTGTGACCTATAGGAGAAGTATACCCAAAATAGTTTTGGCTATACGTCTCCTCTAAAGTGATACTAAACTCACGACCCTGCATTCACTATATCTGGTCTCCCACAGTACAAAAAACATGGAAATGCAATTATTTTAGTAAACAAACTGCTTAATACTTTTTCTCATCAACAGCATATAGCAGTCTTGTGACTTCTATCAGTGTCCAGCTGAGCATTGGTTAAAGCTTGTAGGAGGAGTTTTCATTCTCTTTAGACTGTCCTATGAGGCAGCATAACCATTGACCCTCTGCCTGGACAGTGCTGGTTGGCCCGGTGCTTATCACATGCACCCTTCCCAAAAAAAACTCTATAGCAATACACACCAAACTAAGCATGTGCAGAGTGCCTCTTAGGGCTCTGTACTATCAGCAGATGGACTGGGGACAGTAAAAGAAGGGTAGGATCGGAGAAGACAGGATCGAACAACCTTTTTAGATGATGCAGAGGATTAACCTCTTAGGTTCCACAGTGAGTATAACAAGCATGCTATACAGCATCTACAGAGTTTACTTTTGTGGGTTTGGAAACACTTTATGTCAGCCATTAAAGGGTATCCAAACTATCTGCACTAGCCAGAATGATAAAATACTGTATCACTGCTACCCATTAAACCTACAAATATATTCCATTTCCCGAACTCACATGCAACAGATACTCCACACATTACCGGCTCATACACAACACTCCACGATGATGACAGCGTGCTGGACGAATCAAGGGAGGTCACGTGACGCAAAGACTTCCGCCCCCTCGCGGATCACATGATCTCCTCCTTGTCCTGCGCACACCCCGGAAGCTGTCGTCCGCCCTAAGGTTTGCGTCACCATTCCCGGCATTCTTTGCCGCTTCCGGAGACCAAGCCGTCTGTGGAGTTCGCTTGGTATCCGAGAGGACGGCTAGTGGGTTTGTTGGCGACCGAAGTGGTCTCGGGATTGTAAAAGAGCTATGAAGGAGCTGAAGGAAGAGGAGAGATACCGGAAGAGGAGGGTGCCTAGTCCGGAGACGGTCTCGGTGAAGAAGGAGAGGATGAGCCCGGCTAGGCCTCACCGGGCACATCGGAGTTCCAGCTCCGGGAGCAGCGGAGGAGAATCCCCCCAACCACAGCCCCGGGGGAGGAGCAGGTGAGACTGTGAGAGAAGGGAGTTCAGAGGAGATTAAGGAGTCTACTTGAATGTAGTACAACGCCATCCCGGTATGTCAGGGGGAGGCTGGGCACCCACGGTGAAGTCTGCTGAAAAACCGCCAACACAGTCCTTTCCTAAACGACCCTTTAACAGAAGATGTAAATCCTAACTGACATTTAGGCCCCCCTTGTAGAAAGCAGAGGTATGGTCATACAACTGCAAACCCTTACCTTGTAAAACAACCTATTCAGCTTAACCACTTGCCCTCTGGAAGATTTACCCCCCCTGCCTGACCAGGCCATTTGTATCCTCTTTAACCTCTTGCCGCCCAGCCACTGCATTAAAACGGTGGCAGGGCGGCACGGCTGCGCAAAAGCACGTTTTAAACGTGCTCCGCACTCCAGAGGTTTTTTGCGGGCAGGGGGCGCGCGCGCGCACGCTCCCGCCGACCCGCGGGTGTCACGATTTGATCCCGGAGGGATCAATCATCCGGTTTCAGCCTGTGATGTCCGGCTGAAATCAGATGATCGGTCCCTGTCCTGTCCTGTGTTGACATTTACACAAGACAGGATATGATGTCATTCTTCTCTGCCTGGGCACATTCCGTCCCAGAGAGAGAAGACAGAAAAACTGTGAGTACAAAAGCACTACACAGACAGAACACTCTAGGACACATTTAACCCCCTGATCGCCCTCCCCCCAGTTAACCCCTTCCTGCCCTGTCACCAGTGTCATTGATCAGTGAACAGATTTTTACTGATCACTGTATCAGTGTTGCTGGCGACTTCCAATAGTGTTAGTGCCCCTCCCAGATAGCGCCAGTTTGCTCATTAGTACACCAGTAATCCCCTTTAACCCCTTCATCGCCCCCCCCCCCCTCCCCCAGTTAACCCCTTCACTGCCCTGTCACCAGTGTCATTGATCAGTGAACAGATTTTTACTGATCACTGTATCAGTGTCGCTGGCGGCTTCCAATAGTGTTAGTGCCCCTCCCAGATAGCGCCAGTTTTCCCGCTAGTACACCAGTAATTCCATTTAACCCCTTGATCGCCCCCCCCCCCCCCCCCCCCAAGTTATCCCCTTCACTTCCCTGTCACCAGTGTCATTGATCAGTGAACAGATTTTTACTGATCACTGTATCAGTGTCGCTGGCGGCTTCCAATAGTGTTAGCGCCCCTCCCAGATAGCGCCAGTTTGCCCGCTAGTACACCAGTAATCCCGTTTAACCCCTTGATCACCCCCCCTAACTTTGAGTTTACAATATATTTTTTAGAGCTGAAAGTAGAAAATATTGTTTTTTTTTTTTTTTCAAAATTTTTGTGTTTTTTTTTTGTTTATAGCGCAAAAAATAAAAAGCGCACAGGTGATAAAATACCACCAAAAGAAAGCTCTATTTGTGTGAAAAAAAGGATGTAAATTTCGTTTGGGTACAGCATTGCATGACCACGCAATTATCATTTGAATTCGTGCAGCGCCAAACAGCAAAAAAAGGCCTGGTCATTAAGGGGGGTAAATCCTCAGGAGCTCAAGTGGTTAAATCCATCCTATAGCAGAAATACTGCTACATGGTGGACTCCCTGCGCAAAATCACATGTATGTATACGTGATTCGTGCTCCCGCAGTGACCACAGGCCGATGGCGCGCATGCCATGATTTGGTGCTTGACTGATCAGTCATCAGATTCAGACTAGTGATGTTCGGCCTGGATCTGCTGATTGATCCCTGCCCTATCGGAGATGATGCAATTTTCTTTCTCTGGGCAAATTCTGTCTCAGAGAGAAGAAAGCAGAGACCTGTGAGTAAAACACTACACATTTACAGTAAAACACATTTAGGACACATTTAACGCCCTGATTGTCCCCACTTAACCCCTTAACTGCCCTGTCACCAGTGTCATTAGTACAGTGTACAGATTTTTAGCGTTGGCGTCCCTCCCAAATAGCGTCAGATTGCCCGTCACCACACAGTCATCACATTTAACCCCTTGATTGCCAAGAACATGCTTGCATACACAAACCTCCATTGCTAGTATGGTGCCTGAATGGATCAATATCTTTGATCAGATCAGCACTATACCAGCGCTTACATTAGTATAGAGTCCCCAAAAACGCAGCATTAGCGGTATCAGCCCCGGCACCTGCCAGCACCTGCGTTTAGCCTCTATGCTTAATCTCAGTGTTAGCAGAATCAGGCCTGATCTCTACTAGCACTTACAGGTAAATTTTTTGTAGCTGTTCAAGCAGTCCCTGACAGCCAGGTGCTCTTTTTCCCTTGAGTCGCACTAGGTATCTATAAATGTAGTGGCCAGAATGTCCCAACAAAAGGTACTCTAGTGAAGAGGCCTACAGGATTCTGAGCATGTCAGATGAGAGCGAAGGGGAAGCCTCATTGACAGAATCTGCCTCAGTATATAAGCATCGGCACCCGGACAGGCAGCTCAGACGATGGAGAAGAGGTCCCTGCTAAGGTCAGGCATACCCGACTCTGTTCTTGAGATGTTACAATTGCATAATGATTCTCATATGCAGCAGAGTGCCAGTACCAGTGCTGCTTTACCTTTTGGTGAACTGGTGAGCACCAGCGACCTAGTACATCCTGGTCTTATACATACCAGCACTGCAATATCACTTGGTGACGTGGCTATTCCCATAAGTGCAGTACAAGCTGGTGCAGTGGGTAGCACAAGTAGTGTCCAGGGATGTGCAATTCATATCAAACAACGGCCAGGACATGTAGTTCTGGGCGCCAGGCAGGTAGGTTTTATTTTACCTTTAGCCCTGCTGTAGGCAAGCAGCAGGGCTCATGTGCCGCCCAATTGCTTCCACACAGCCCACAGTGCCAGCGGTTGTCCCCCTGCCTGCTATATGTCCCGGGCTCTGCTTGCCCATCTGTGGGCCCAGGACTAGTTTAGTGGGTGCCAGCGTTATGTCGGGATGCGGGTATAAAGAAGGGACAAGAGCGGACACGTCCATTCCCCTCCCCTTCTTGTCCTAACACTTCCGGGTCCCTGTTGACAGCTTCCTGGCCATTGAGGCTGGGAAAGAATGTAATGTGGTGTGATGTGCACTGTATTACATTCAGTGGAGCACAGGGGAGACACTGGGGCACCTACACATGAAACCAACGATTGTAATACACATGTTACATATCGCTGCAGCGAAAGGGATAGAGGATAAGCCCAACACTCCTCTTTCCTGACGAGCAGCTTATCAGTGCTCATTGCACTGCAAGGTCTCTCCCCTCCCTGCCAGTCCCTGGTGCGGTGCTGGAGACAGACAGGGAGGGGAGTAGGAGATAAACAGCGCAATGTTAAAAATATTACACATTTAAGTCACCATAAAGCCCCTTTCCTTTTTAAAAGCCCCAGACATTCCATAAAGCACCTAAGATTTAAATACGGTTTTGGTTAAAATGTATTTTTTTTATTAGGACAAGTAGATTGCCATGAGGGACAAGTAGATTTGGACACCAATTTAGTCCTTGGACAAGTAGTTTTTACAAAAAATTTCCACACCCCTGAGTGTCCCACCACAGCCACCAAGAATTCTCACAAAGGCCTGTAGAACTCTTAATGTCCTTCCGGATGTGCTTTCAAATCCTGATTGGCAGCCCACAAATTCTGCAGTACCCGTAGTTCCCCCATTCACTGCCCATCCTGGAATTCAGAAGGAAACATCAAATTTAACTAGTTCCCTTTATTTTTTTGGAGCGTTTTTTCATGGAAGATCTGTATGCATTGATTGTGGTTCGAAGCAATTTATATGCACAACAGTTTATCGCTGCCAACCCAATTCAAACCATGCCAGACCATTTGCATGGAAATCTATTACGGTTTCTGAATATAACGGGTTTTTTTTTTGGGGCCTAACCCTCAACATGGGCATTAATAAAAAAAAAAAAAACGAATTGCGGTTGTATTGGTCCACAGACCTGATTCATCATATGCCTTTGCTCTCTGCTGCCATAGCCAGGCATAGATATGAGAATATAAAGTGATTTATGCATTTCATCGACAATACACTGTCGCCATCGGGGTGACCCTCAATTCACCAGCTCCACAAAATTCGGCTTCGTAAATCACCTTAACCAAAGATTTGCAGATATCTATACTCCACAACAAAACATCTGTGTTGATGAGTCCCTCATTAGTTTTTCTGGCCGCCTTGCATTCAAACAATTTCTCCCCAGCAAGCTTGCCAGATATGGGGTCAAGATGTATAAGCCCTGTGAGAGGGCAACAGGCTATGCATATAAGTTTTGGATTTACGAAGGAAAAGATAGTCATGTGGAGCCCACAAATGCCCAGACTACATGGGGAGCAGTGGCAAGATAGTTTAGGACTTGGTGTCATCCTTTTTCCATATGGGGTACAACTTATACGTAGACAATTTTTTTTTAAGTTTGCCACTATTTAGACATTTGTACAATCTTGGAATTTGCGCATGTGGCACCGTGCAACCTAATTGCCGGGGCTTCCCCCAATGGCTTGTAAATACCCATCTTAGAAAGGGGGAAAAAACCTGATGATTGCTCGCAGTGAAGTGGAAGGACAAAGGGGATTTTTTTTTTTTCGCCCTGTCTTCCATTCATGCAGGCACGACCATCCAAATTGCCATGGCAGCTGGTGTTGTTTAGAAGCCCCTCAGTGACTAGATAATGAAGTCATACTTAGTTTTCCAAAAAGCCAGATACTGGTAAAAAAAAAAAAAGTGTTTATTTCAATTGGCTCTATATTATGCTTTTGTGCTTTACAAAGCAACTGGACAAAGTGGCTCCTTCCTAAAATTCCAGGAAGAGATCATCACGGCTCTTTTGTATCCAGAAGGTGCTATGGCCCAAACCCCCAACCCAGATGCAGTTAGCCGCTGCATGAAAGGCATTTTCCCGATGCCATTCCTGGTACCCCAACCCAAAGGACACCCCAAAAAAGATGTCTGTAGCAGACACAGAATTAGGCGTGACACCCGCTTTTTTTTTTTTTGTCCCTCCTGTCCTGGCCAACCTGGTCTCTGCCTCAAGGACTGCTTCCATCACTACCATACACTAGTTCACTATTAGTATAGAATAGAGCATGGCATGCTACAAATTTTTGGAAAATGAAGAGAAAATAAAAACATATTTTTTCTTTTTCAAAACCTTGTGAGAAAAAAATTAGATCTGCAAAATACTCACCATGCCTCTTATTAAATTCCTTTGAGTGTCTACTTTCCAAAAAGGGGTAATCTGGGGGGGAGGTTGTATTATCCTGGCATTTCATGGCCTCCAAATCTGTGATGTGAAGTGAGGAACTTGCGCACCTTCAGGCTTTCAAAGTGGTCATTGGATTTTAGGCTCCTGAACGTGGCTTGGCTCCCAAAAAGTCTCACACAATTGGTATCCCCATACTCTGTAGAAGTAGAAGATTGTAACTTGGGGTGTAATTCCACATATACCAATGGCATGTGTGAGTAATGTATTATTTAATTGACAACTTTGTGTTGACAAAAAAGGTTTTTATTTTTTTTATTTTCCAAAAACTTGTGGAAAAAAATAAATCTTCCATGGACTCAACATGCCTCTCAGCAGATAGCTTAGGGTGTCTACTTTCCGAAAAGGGGTCATTTGGGGGTGTTTGTACTGCCCTGGTATTTTAGCACCTAAAGAAATGTGATAGGCAGTCAGAAAGTAAAAGCTATACCATAGTTTGTAGATGCTTTAACTTTCACACAAACCAATTAATATGCAGGTTATTGGGATTTTTTTTTTACCAAAGACATGTAGCAAAATACATTTTGGCCTAAATTTATGACGAAATTTGAGTTTATTGGATATTTTTTTATGATAGAAATGAAAATATATCGGGGGGGGGGGGGGGGGGGGGTTTTTCAGAATTTTTGGTCTTTTTTTTGTTTATAGTGCAAAAAAGAACCCCAGAGGTGATCAAATGCCACCAAAAGAAAGCACTGTTTGTGTGAAAAAAGGACATAAATTTCATTTATGTACAGTATTGCATGACCGCGCAATTGTCAGTTAAACTGGTGCAGCGCCGTATAGCAAAAAGAGGCGTAAATTCTAATATCTGACGCAATTTGTAGACGCGATAACTTTCACACAAACTAATATACACCTTATTAGGATTTTTTTTCCAAAGACATGTAGAAAAATACATTTTGGCCTAAACTTTATGGCAAAATTTGAGTTTATAGGATTTTTTTTATAACCGAAAATGAGAAAATATCGGGGGTTTTCTTTCAAAAGTTTTTTGTTTATAGCGCTAAAAAAACCCCCAGAGGTGATCAAATACTACCAAAAGAAAGCTCTATTTGTGTGAAAAAAGGACCTAAATTTCATTTATATACAATATTGCATGATTGCACAATTGTCAGTTAAACTAAACAGCGCTGTATAGCAAAAAATGGCGTACATTGCAGTATCTATACCATAGTTTATAAACGCTATAACTTTCACACAAAGCAATCAGTATACATTTATTGGGATTTTTTTTTATCAAAGACACGTAGCAGAATACATTTTGGCCTAAATGTATAACTAACTTTGAGTTTACTATATTTTTTTATAGCTAAAAGTAAAAAATAAAGTTTTTTTTTTTTTTTTTTCTTCAACATTTTTCAGTCTTTTTTTCGTTTATAGCGCAAAAAATAAAAAGCACACAGGTGATCAAACACCACAGAAAGAAAGCTCTATTTGTGTGAAAAGAGACATAAATTTTGTTTTTGTACAGCATTGCGTGACTGCGCAATTACCAGTTGAAATAGTGCAACACCGAATAGCAAAAAAAGTCCTGGTCAGGAAGGGGGGTAAATCATCTGGAGGGTTACTGATACGGTGCTGTGTTACTTTAACTGACAATTGCACTGTCATGCAAACTACATAAATTAAACTTATGTCATTTTTTTCTCCACAAATAGAGCTTTCTCTACGCAGAGATCACCTACAGAGAGCATCTGCAAATGGCAGTATGTATACTGGATTTTTTTTTCTCTTTAATATATACTAGTAATGGTGGTGATCAGCAACTTATAGCGGGACTGCGGTGGGCATTCACACTGAGTGGGTACTGACTAACTGCCACTAACATCTCCAGTGGCACTAATACAGTGGTCAGTGCTAATAAAAAGCACTGATACAGTACTAATAACACTGGGCAGGAAGGGGTTAACATATGGGGCGATCAAAGGGTTAACAGTGTGCTGTTTTGTGCTTACTTTGTGCTTTTTTTTTTTTTTTTTTTTTACTAGGGGGTGTGCTGCTTTCTATCTCTCAGATGTGCAGAGAGATACAAAGCACCATGTCCCTGCTGACAGAAGAGAGACCTGTGTTTACACACAGGTCTCTACCCTGAATCGCTGGCCAGGACCGTTGATTGACATCTCGAGAAACCAATGACAGCGCAGGTAGGGCGGTGCACACACCCTACCTGGATAAGCAAAATCACATATTTTTATTATTATTATACAGGATTTATATCGCGCCAACAGTTTGCTCAGCACTTTACAATATAAAGGGAGACAATACAGCAACAATACAGTTCAATACACGAGGGTTAGGAGGGCCCTGCTCCTTGGAGCTTACATTCTAAGAGGGAGAGGCTGGTGGTACAAAAGGTAATAACTGTGGGGGATGGACTGGTAGTAGGAATAGAAGATTCTGTTATTAGCTGAAGGCAGGATGGGCTTCCCTGAAGAGATAGGGGAGTGGGTAGAGTAGGCAATAGTGTGATAGATTGGGGTAGAGAGTTCCAGAGGATGGGAGAAGTCCTGGAGAATAGTATGGGAGGAGGAGACAAGGGAGCTAGAGAGCAGGAGGTCGTGGGAGAAGCAGAGATGACAGTTTGGGTGATATTTGGAGACAAGATTGGTGATGTAATTTGGGGCAGAGATATAAATGGTTGTATATGTTCTTGTTATTGTTTTGAATTTTATTCTTTGGTCAATGGGAAGCCAGTGGAGGGATTGGCAGAGAGGGGTGGCAGATATGGAATGGTTAGTAAGGTGGATGAGTCTGGCAACAGCTGCAGAGGAGATAGCCTGCAATTAGGTAGGCCAATGAGGAGGGAGTTACAATAGTCAAGGCAAGAGATAACAAGGGAGTGAATAAGTTGCTTAGTAGTTTCAGAGGTTGAAAACGGGCATATCTTTGAAATGTTGCGGAGGTGAAGTCTACAAGATTTGGACAGTGATTGGATTTGGGACTGAAAGGACAGATGGGAGTTTAGGATTACACCTAGCACCCTGGCATGAGGGGAGGGACTGATGGTTGTGCTATTGATCTTGATGGAGAAGTCAGGGGAGGAGGGCACGGGCTGGAGGGAATAGTATGAGCTCAGTTTTAGAAAGTTTGAGGAAGTGGAGTGACATCCATGCCGATATGTCACTTAGTAGGTTAGTAATGCGAGAGGAGACTGAAGGGGTGAGGTGAGGAGTAGAAAGATAGATTTGTGTGTCATCAGCATAGAGATGGTACTTAAAGCAATGGGAGTTTATCAAGTGACCAAGGGAGGATGTGTAGATGGAGAAGAAAAGGGGTCCAAGGAAAGAACCTTGAGGGACCCCTACAGAAAGAGGAAGTGAAGAGGCTGTAACAGATATAGGTAACGCTGAAGGAGCGCTGTTATAGGTAGGAGGAGAACCAGGAGAGAGCAGAGTCTCTGGGGCCAAGAGAGTGGAGTTTTTTTGAAGAGGAGGGGATGGTCAACAGTATTAAAAGCCGCAGATAGGTCAAGTAGTAAGAGTATAGAGTAGTGGCCATTGGTTTTAGCCATTAGTAAATCATTAGTGAGTTTTAGTAGGGCAGTTTCAGTGGAGTGTAGTGAGCGAAAGCCAGACTGTAAAGGGTCAAGAAGGTTGTTGTCGGTGAGGTGGGAGCTCAGGCGATTGTAGACTAAGCGTTCTAAGAGTTGAGTAAATGGGAGTAGGGAGATGGGTCTTCAGTTGTTCAGGTTGGTATGGTCAGCGAGGGTTTCTTTAAGTATGGGAGTTATGTGCACATGCTTTAGAGAGGAGGGGAAGGCACGAGTAGAGAGGGAAAGATTGAAGATGCGAGTAAGGGAGCATAGGATTGAAGGAGAGGGTGAAAATAGTAGTTGTGAGGGGGCAGGTAGTGAGACAGGCTTCTGAGAAAACCTTAGTGTCCTCTTCGGTAGTAGCAAGGTCAAAAGAGGAAAGTGTTGAGGGAGGTTTAGTATAAGGTATGCTAAGTTGGATGGATGTCTGTGCAGTGGCGATGCCCCTACGAATTGCGTCAATCTTGTTTTTGAAATTTTTTGCAATCTCCTGAGCAGTGAGTGAGGTACTGGGTGGAGGTGGAGAAAGTAGAGAAGCGACAAGGAGGACTGGATGACAAGGTATTAATAAGAGCGGCAAAGTAGGTTTGTTTGGCAGCATGCATGGATGAATTTTATGTTAAGAAAGCAGATTTATATAGGGTGAATGCTTGCTGAGATTTGGTTTTACGCCACAAGCACTCCAGTGCACAACTATGTCGCTTAAGATTTCTGATGTCCGTCTGCCACGGTTGTATTGGTCGGGGGCCTGATGCTTTTGTAATTAGAGGAGCAAGTGAGTCTAGTGTGGATGAAAGCAAACTGTTGTAGACAGCAGCGGCCAGGTCAGGACAGGGGAGAGATTCTGTCATAGAGGCGGTCAGTTGCAGAGTGGAAAAGAGAAGGGTTTAATTTGTGAAAGTTTCTGCGGGTAATTGTTTAGTGCTTGGAGGAATAGGTGTTTGAAGACGAGGACACTGTGAAGGTGATGAGATTGTGATCAGAGAGAGGAAAGGGGGTGTCTGTGAGGTTGTAGGAAATGCAAAGATGGGAGAAAACCAGGTCTATTGTATTCCCATCAGAGTGAGTGGAGGACTGTGTCCATTGTGTTAAGGCGAAAGATGAGATTAGGTTGAAGAGTTGGGATGTAGCCGGGTTGTTCACATTTAATGGGGATGTTAAAATCTCCAAGAATGATAGTGGGTAGTTCAGAGGAGAGATAGTAGGGTAGCCAGGCAGAGAAATCATCAAGAAAGCGGGACACCAGTCCAGGAGGCCGATAGATCACTGCAATCCTCAGAGAAATAGGAGACAACAGCCGGATGCAGGGAGTCTCTAAAGAAGAGAAGGATAGAGAGGGAGGGTTATGGAGGACTTGAAAGGTGCTCAGTGGGGATAGAAGCAAACCAACTGCACCTCCTTTCTGACTACTGGATCTGGGTGAGTGAGTCCAGAGAAGGCCTCCATAGGAAAGTGCTGCTGGAGAAGAAGAATCTGCTGCTTGAAGCCAGGTTTCTGTAATTGCTAGTAGGTTAAGGGAGCGGGAGACAAAAAGGTCATGGACAGAGGTGAGCTTATTACAGACAGAGCGGGCATTCCAGAGTGCACGTGAAAAAGGGAGGAGGTTTTAGTATTGACATTAAATTGAGTGAATTGCAGCTATTCCTGGAGGGAGGAATGTACCTTGTGTGGGAGATACTGGAGGACCAGGGTTTTGGGTAGATATCCCCAGAGGTTAGGAGAAGAAGGAGGGTGAGGAAAGTAAGTTGGGAGCGGGATGTATATTAGCGCACATGCCTTCTTGTTCTGGTGTTTGGGTCAGCAAGTGAATAAAGTATCAACAGGAGGTGATGAGAGCAGTAGTAGGGAGATGGTAGAAGTGAGGGTGATATGTATAAGCTTTGGGGTGGAGCAGAGGGGTAAAGAAATGAGATTTTGAGAACAGAGGATAGTAATATGAAAAGGAGGAGTAGACGGGACATATTAAAAGGTACATGGAGTGGAATCAGACTTGTAGGAGATGTTTCCCAGGGTGTTTGCTTGCATGCCATCCAGCGTGCAGTAGAGCTCCTTGTTGTATCTTCTTGCTGCTTGGGTTATGCTGCTTTAGTTAAACTGCTGTGTTCAACTGGTGCTTCGCACTCCAGTAGAAAATGCACTCATGCAGGAAAAATGCCCCCTGTCTGTGACCTCCCCCATAAGCACTAATGACACTGGGCAGGAAGGGGTTAACATCTGGGGTGATGAAAGGGTTAACTGTGCTGTTTTGTGCTTACTGTGTTTTTTTTACTGTTTTTTTTTTTTTTTTTTTTTTTTTTTTTTTACTAGTGGACTTGCTGCTTTCTATCTCTCTGCTGTGCAGAGAGATAGAAAGCAGCATGTCTCTGCTGACAGAAGAGAGACCTGTTTTTACACACAGGTCTCCTCCCTGTTAGCTTCTCCAGAAATTGCAGAGTCCCAGCCATGAATCGCTGGCTGGGACCTGTTGATTGACATCTCGATAAACCAATCACATTGCGGGTAGGGCAGTGCACACACTCTACCCGGATAAGCAAAATCACGTATTTATACGTGATTTTGCATAGTGGGGCCACCCTGTAGCAGTATATCTGCTATAGGGCAGTCCTTAAATGGTTTAATATAGCAATGAAAGACAAAACATTTGTGTATAAATATTTAAAAAAAAAAAAAGTATTTGTTTTTTATTATAAGTGATCACATTCCCTCTGTTCTCAGCTGCATAAGGACTAGGGGAGGAGAAACAGCAGTACTATGAGCTTCCCAGTGAAAGGCTGTGCATGGGGTGGGGGTTTATGGCAAGTCTCTCCTGCCTAGTGTGGTCAGTTTTTTTTTTTAATAGGAAAGGGACTGACAGGATCACCAGGGATTTCACTCAAAGGAAGCAATGCAAAGATAACAGGATACCTTTTCATACAAGTACACGCGACAGCAGGCACATATCAGGAATGTTGGGTTTACAAATTCTTTAAATTGGAACTAAAGTTCCACTGTACCACGCTGCAAGAAGGCAGCGTTTTTATTGCAGAAGAGACATGCAGTGTCTCTTCTGTAGTAAAACTCACCTATCTGCCTGCTGATAGCAATCCCCAGACTGTAAACTGCATTGTGCATGCGCAGCCCAGGGTGGCTGGCCCAATCCTGTGATAACTAGCTTCTGCGTATACAGAGGAGTGAGATCATCCCACACCAACCAATGAGGAGGCCCAACAACCAACGCACATGAGAAGAGGCCAGTGCCAGAGAATCTGTTGAAAAGGTGATTATCTCTTCCTTTGGATCCACTTTAAAGTGGTATTAAAGTCAGTCGAAGAAGAAAGAAAAAAGCACTGACAGTCAGGGTCCCTGGTAGCCTCTTCTGTCATAAAGCCTTGCCTGTCCTCGGTAATGTAGTCTGATGTGCACAGGTCAGACCACATTTACGGCACCCGCTCTTTGCCTTTTTGGTGTTTCGCATTCATGGGAGTGGTCAAAGAGGTGGAACTTGTAGGAAAGATCTGGCGAAGATGGAAGCATTCGGGACCAGCAGGAGCAGTGACAGCACAGCTCTGCAGAGCACTGTTTAACAGGTAAGTCTACCATAATGTGCCAGTATACAGTGCATAATAGCCACATTTTGGCATAAACCTGCAGGGTACCTGAAAATATTCTCTTAAACTGTGTTTATAAAAGAAAAACTGGTTCCCTTACAAGGTAATGTCATAATGTGCACCACATACTAGCCCATTAAGGCTGACTTACCTGGGAAACGCATCCTTCCAGCAAGGCCCTATCATCACCGACAGGGAATCCCCCCGGTTCTAGCTTACTGGTTTATGGGCTTCGGCTGTTTAAATGGCTGAGCCGCGATAACATCGCACACGAATCAGCTGTGACAAAGCTCTCCCAGTGTACGGCTTGCCATCCATTGAAAACACAGTGCACATGCGCCAGTGATGGCTGTTTCACATGGGAGATATTTACTGTCCCTACAAGTAAGCCTTAATATAGGCTTACCTGTAGGTACAATTCAACAAAGGGAGTGGACTCCAAATTTAAAACCGCTTTAGGAAAAGTACAGAGGATCGCTTTATAGATGTGCTTGGCACTCCAAATGCTTTGGACCTCGATACAAGTGTAGTCTAAAAAAGTGGATGTTGGGGATGGGCGGATTAGGAAGGGGGGGTCCAATCACAATACCTGTCATATGACCAGCTTCTCCCCCATTTACAGAGCGCACTGTAACCCCATGAGACACTGCACACTGGGTTTTATGAACGGCGCCTAAAATAAAATGCCGCTGTGTGAAGTAATGCTGCAGTGTTCAGCGGAGAAAAGTTGGCAGTATCCACTACCTTTTTAAATGGATTGCTTTGTTTGCTAATGCTCCATGTATCATAAATGATACATAGACCAGGAAATTCACAAGGTGCTTCCTATGATTTCTTTATATTTTCATCATGCCTCCACACAACAAATGACAGGTTCATGTACCAGGTGGAAACAGGTACGTGATTTTGGGGGCAAGCTCTGCGTTCAGCAATGCACTGAGAACACAGTTTGCTTAATGCCTCTGTGCTTGCCTTCTCTGTATTTTAGGGTTCATTGCATATGGGGTCTCCTTCCTTTTTTTTTTTTTTTTTTTTTTTTTTATGCTAAGTATTTATTTTTTTATTTAGGTCACCTTTAAAAAAGAAAAAGAGTTATGTCAAGAGAAGCAAGTCTCCAAGGAGGAGAAACAGAAGTGATAGTAGAAGTCCACCACCTGTTCCTGTAAAAATAAAACAGGTAAATTCAGCATGAAAGGACCTGTATTAAAAACTTGTAGAAAGGTTAAAAAAAAAAAGTGTATCTGTAGTTGTAAATGAAGGTATACATTTCTAGTACAAACGTTCTCTACTTGATTAGTGATATTTGTTTTTGTAAAAGCAAATGTAGTAAATTTTGTATCTGTACAACTAGCCTTTAAAATGTGTGATAACTGTGATGACCTATTTTTAAAAAACATTTTCTGAATTAGTACGAAGGATACTCATTACAACAAGGAGACAACCAGCTGATTTTTTTCAGCTGAAATAGTTTGCTCATAGGGCTAATGCAAAGGGATTAAAGTAGATGGCTTACTGAACCACTGTGGGGTTTATTTACTAAAGCTGGAGAGTGCAAAATCAGACTCACTTGCATAGAAGCCAATCGGCTTTCAGGCTTTATTGCCAAAGCTTAATCGAACAAGCTGAACTTGAATGTTGATTGGTTTCTATTCAGAATTGACTCTGATTTTGCACTCTCCAGCTTTAGTAAATAAACCCCACAGTGGTTCAGTAAGCCATCTACTTTAGTCCCTATGTATTAGCCCTATGCGTTGACTATTTCGACTATTTCAGCTGAAATAATGTGATGGGAATTAAAATCCACTAAAAGTAGTGCCGCTACACTGATGGGAATGTTTTCTTGGGGCTGTATGTCACAAACGACATCAAGATAGTGTATATAACGTATTTAGTGTAACCACCTGTAGCTCTTTTTACAAAAACTTTGTGAAGGGCTGATTGTATTTGTTGCAAAAACAAGGGCTTAGATTCTTTGGGCAAACATAAACTTAAGAGATCAATAATTATATGATATTGTCATGAAAAGGTAACTTCTATTTGCTTAATGATCACCCAATAAAGGTTTCGGTTGGTTCTAGGTCCTGGAATTGGGCATGTGTGACCTATAGTAATCAGTAAATCTCTGGACACCACTCGGATGCTTCAAGTAGGGTCTGTAGTACATCCCTGATTAAAATAGTGTTAGAATATTTGCACCTGGGCTTATCATATAGAAATTAGCTATGTGTATGCATCAATAAATGTAGTCAGTACAAGGCCAACAATGTGGGTCTTGAAATAACTTTTTGTCCAGCTATTTCATGTCTGATAAGTGGTTCTTCTCACTAATCATTTCAAGTCTCGTGTTTCACAATGTTTTTGGTGAAAATGCTGTGATCAGTAGGGAATTAATACTTGGTGGGAAAAAAACAAGTGCCTTGTTACCCTCACTGTAGTTTATTAACCCCATTCTAGAAGCAGGTAATTTTACCCTTCAAATAGTATGAGAGATGATCCAGTGTAAATGAATAAGCACTTATAGTAGGCAACACAGCTACTTTCTTGCCTAGGCCCATGTCTTTACCTATTACTCAGTGCTGTGTGGCTAAAACAAACTTATCAGTCGAGGTATGAATTATCACCATGCAACTTTGAATTGTTTTAGACCTAGTAATCCTAAGGTATTCAATGTAATCAAGTATAGAAATGGGTAGGATATTTTTCTGATGTCCGCAATCTGCTAGGCTTCTGTAATCCTGAAAGAAAACAGGGCATCTAGGTGCTGTCATATGTCTGAAAATGTTCTACTGCTTTTAAATCAGTAATTTTATGCTAAATGTTCTGTTCCCCATTCATCTTCCAGGACAGCAACATGAGAGGTGACTGATTCCTCCAGAAAATACAAGCAGAACAAGTAAAAACCTCTTCCATCCCTCTTGTCCTTTAGTTTAAATTGTGTCTACCGTCCAGGAGCAGCACAACTGTTTGTTGTTTATCTGCCTGACTGAGTAGCTTTCAGCGGTCCCCCTCAGTGCATATCTGCTTAGTGAGAGGGCAGCCCCTTATTTTTTCATTCCAGGATCGTGGCCCCCCTTTTTTTGGGTGTGGGGTCAAATTTTGAAGCTCCCAGCTAGTTAGCTCTGTCACCATGGCCTTCTGGGGAGTATTTCAGTGACCAGCAGTGGTTTTCCAGATGGTGGTGGCAATGTTTTCCACCAGTATTTTGGGCAGAAGTATTGAGGAGTGGTGTTCAGCCCAGGCCTCAATTTGGGGCTTCAGCGACGTCCCTTTCAGTGATTTAGGATGACACTTTCCATTGGTGTCAGAACAGTGCTGAGTTCAGACAGCATGGGGATTAATGCACCTTTCCTGACCAAAGAAGGAGAGGCTGAGGACAACAAGCCATCACTAAGTACTGTGTCCAGAAACAAACATGCTGCTGGGCGAGTGCAACCCTTGGATGGTTTGGAGTATTTCACTGTGGTGATGGGACCAGTGGTGTTAGTTTTTTACTATATGCACCTTCCCTCTCCCTGCGGGAAAAACTTCAAGCCCAGGCACTTACCATCCCATCTTCTATACAAGCTTCAGGGTCTAGTCACCCTAAGAAGCATTGCAGTAATTGTAACAAGAAATTGTCTTCATCTTATAGCAAGCCGTTTTTCTGATGATTGTATTCAAACGCTGACAGCATGTGAGACTTTTGATTTAAAGCTGCACTTATTTGCCTTCAGCTCCTAAGACCTGTTCTTCAGTCTCGTTGCCGACTCTTCACTCAATTAGCCGTTTTACTGTTGTTACCCAGGAGGAAGAAACGGCAATAGAAGCTAATTCCTCTTTGGAAGATCCTGCTAATGAGAGAGGGAAGAAATGGGTATGTAACCATAGATTTTTTTTCAGAGGTTACAAAACCAGCATTAACAAGGATTTGAGAGCCTTTTAATAAAATGGAGCCTAAGGAAGGTTTGCTTTTCACTCTTACAGAACTTGCCAGTAACAACAACAAATGATCAGCATCAGGGAAAAGTTGCCTCAGTTCTACCAACAATGGGAATCCATATCAGACAGCCCATTCATCTTACAATTTTGTGAAGAAAGAGTATCTGCTAGAAAATTTAGCCACTCCCCTCAAACTTTCTTCTTGGCCAGGCCACCAAGAGACCCGATAAAGGAAGCTGCCCTGCAGGATTGCATAAATACCTTTGCTCAACAAGGGGGTGATCATTCCAGTACCAGAATACTAGATCCTTTGCGTTTTTACTTTCATATGTTTGTCCAGAAACCAACAGGAAAGTCCTGAATTATTGTAAATTTGAAAAAATTGAGCTACAAAAAATTCAGAATGGAAAAATGTCCACTAAAAGAAGTATTGCTTATCACCTTGGATTTTCAGAATGCCCCAAGTCATTTAACACACCATAAGTTCTAATGCCTATTGGTGCTGAAAGATCATGATGGCAATTTTGCCCCTTTCCATTTGGTCTTTTGGTGATCCCAAGAATCTTCACCAAATTTCTGGAAGAAGTTATATTTTACTTTCATGTTCAAGGATCTTCTCTCATTCCTTACTTGGATGACCTACTCTAATATTTCCCTTGGGAAGAGAAAAGGTGAGGAGGACTTTTTAATATCTTCTATAACTTTAAGAATCTTAGTTGGCTGGTCAAATAGTTTTCCTTGTTTCTGGCCTAGGCTAGGGTTTTCCTGTGTTACCAAATCAATTGGGTGGCTCAAAATATTCTCCAAGATTCTGACAGTACAGCAAGTCGCTTCAGCATTAGTGGTTACGCTAAGAAAAAATTGTCTTTTGGATCCTATGACAACCTCCTGCATTAATGTGGGCCACAGCTGCACTTGAGAGCCCTAGAAACATGCTTTATATCAACATGAAATCCAAATAGGAATTCCTTAGACTCAGTGCTTCGTCTCCCTTCAAGTCTGACATACATTAAAGCAGAAGAAAAATCTAACTATAGTTATTCTTGAACATGTTCCCTCCCCCCTCCATCGACCTATCTTGCCTAATTTGTATTAAATAATGTGTACTTTTTTTTTTAATTGCTCCAGTCTAGTCATGTGATCCATAGCTCTGGCTCCCCTTTGTCAGTGAACGGCTGGTGTATAAGAGGAGGGAGTTTCAACCATGACTGGGCCATAGGCACCTATGGCTGATATCACTGTTCCTGCAGTCAACAGCCATTGTCAAGCCCTTCTTTACACACAGCAGGATCACATATACCTGACTGACTGACTGAATTTTTTTTTTCTTATACAGGATAGGTAGGAGAACGGAAGGGAACATTTTTAAGAATGGTTGGGATTTTCTTTTACTTTAGGCTGGTGTATGAATATGTTGAACCTGGCAAAGGGCAGATATTAGGCTCTGATAAAGATAACTGATCCAACTCCTGAGGAGTGGGGTGGGGAGCCCATGCACAAGTCGCTTACGCTGAAGATCTGATTCAGTCCACTTCCAATCTGAAAGAACTGACAGCAGTTAAAGAAGCATTATTAGACTTTAATGCAGTGATAAAGAAACACAAGGTGCAGATTTTTATCGACAGTACCACCACAGTGGCATTCCTAAAGCCAAGATGGGGGCATGTTCCACATTGTTGCAGCCGGCTCAAGAGTTTTTTTCCCCTACCGTCTTTCAGGCCAGCACTCTGAGAGACCTCGGCTCCTCCCCATCTGAGGAAACACCTCCACCTACAATAAAAAAGCTCCACTCCCCTCAGACCTCAGTTCAGGTGTTTCCTCCGGTGGGGAGACACGAGGAGGCGCAGGGCAGACGGTAGGGGAGCCGAGGGCCGGATAGCCGGCTGAGAGGCCCGACGCAGCCGGGAGTGAAGGCCGGAGTGTCCGGCTGCACATCCTCCTTGGGCAGGCTGCGGGCAGTGGGAGTGCATCCCGGGGGACGGGACGAAGCACTTGCCTGCTCTTCGCCCCCCGACCCTCTCCGGCGAGGGGGGGCGTCGGGGTGTGCCGTGGTGAGGTCTGGGGAGGATCGGGGGGAGTTCCGCTCCTTCCCATGCTGGCGGTCGGAGGACTTTGCCGGGCCGGACGTCGGGAGACGGCGATTTCCGGCGGAAGGGGCGGGGCTTCGCCCAGGGCTGCGACTTCCGCTTCCGGTCGCGGCCCTCACACCACGGCGGCGCGAAATTCAAAAGGCGGTGCGGTGCTCAGCGGTCTGGGGGA